AGAACTGCAGATTGCATTGGAGCCAGCCTCTAGTGGCCATAAGAGGAATTGCAGTTTTCAGCACTTCCGAGTTGGCTTTATTTTTCTGCCCTGGAGGTTGCTGCTTAATTACAACCAGCGCTGCCCACATTATTGTTTTGGCAGGCAATGGTGACTCCCTTGCATCCGCTCATGCGTGCAATATTTTTTTGGCACCTTCATGTTGTCTTTGTTTTGCAGCCTCAAAGGTTGCTGCTTGGTGGGGATGCAACCAGACCCCAACCACAGAGATGGAAAATCAGAAAACAGACATATGGGTCATGATGAAAAAAGGGCACTGTGTAGCTAAATGTAAAAAATCAGGTGCTCTTCAAGGACAGGACAAAAACTCACATAGGCAGGCAGTCCGAAAATACATTTGAGGAAGTCCTTTATGATATATGGATAAACCAACACGTTAAAACTAGAGATTCTTCATCAGGGTGTAAAATGCATTAGAAAAAGGTGTTTAATTTAAGAGCTCGTGTAGAGGTCATGTGAAAAAGGTCACATAATATATTGGTTTAAGCCTATGGGTCATTTTTGGAGAGCACAGTCTCACTCTGGAGTCATCGAAATCCAGTGCTTGGGCAATGACTTGTGGCGGCAGAAACCAAGGAAAAAGGCATCCTTTAACGTCGGTATATTAGGCAGCCAGTTGCCATTATAGTTAAACGGCGGCTGGAGGCATCAGGGGAAATGTAGCAAGGCAAGGATAAAAGTTAAGGCGGCAAAACTCTGAGCCATATGGGTGGGAGTGATGGAGGATGGGTCCAACAAACATCGACTTTCGCCCGAGAGAGCGGTGTTTGCTTACGGAAAGGTTTTAAAGCCAAAAAAGGAAAGGGAAAAAAAAAGTCAATTTGCTGTGTTGTACCGACGTAGTGCGTTTATTTTGAAAGAGACTGTATGTAAACGGTAAATTTCCTATGAAAACCAAAGTGCATCTTTAAAGAAGAGTACTTGACACGGTGTCCCAGACCATCAACAAGCAATGCACCCAGGGTACCTTGCACATCGTATGTGGACGTGAAAAGTCCACGGCCAACACATCAATATATGACGAGGTTGGAGTGAGAATGTGATGTTTAGGAACGCAGAAGCAAAGATATTTTTGCCAAGTAAGCACAAGTTTCCTGTAATTTATTTATTTATTTATTTTTTAGTACATTTTGAAACAAGAAATTTTCAATTTTAATGGCACTGAAAAACAGATTCTTATTATGAGCGATGGGATTTAACATAATTCGTGTGCCAAAGTCTAATTCAACAATAGAGATTTTTGTTTCTTTTTGTTCTCACCTCTCTCAGTGGTTGGACGTGGGCGAGCTTTGATTGTAAAATGTGTTGTCATATGTTTGCAGCGAAATCTGATGACAGCTGGTCCTGAATATTCAATGTTTTAGAGAAACACTTAAAGATATACTATGCAGGATTGTCGGTTATTGTTTGTAAACAGCATCATTGACACAAGTGAAAGTAAAGCCAACCCCAGATTTTCCCCCTTAGCGTTTCACCTCACTATATTTGCATTTTTTGGGTGCTGTGTCCATAATTTTCATACTTTCCTCTTTGATGTGTGCTGCTTAGGTTCTGACATCTGGTTGCTATCTTTTTATAAAGTCCCGACCTCACCTGAGAGATGTGCCCGGGAAAGTCATGAAAACGAATCAGCATTACCAGTTAAATCGATCTTTGTTGAGAAGTGTTGGTTCATCACTGCTGTAACAGACAGAACTTATAAAGAGGACTGCATGTTAAAAGTACCAGCACATCCTGAGTCTCTGCAGACCGACTGTGCGTCTCAAAGATGTTAGAAAATGTTAAAAACAAGCTGTAAAAGGTTTCCCCGTTTAAATATTAAACCTTTAGTGAAAATGTTTCTTTAACATTGCTCCCAGTTGGGGAGACATGTCGTGTTTGTCTGAAACAAACAGCTTCCTGTGGAGGAGAGTCAAATGTTCCAGAAAACATTAGAAACTGAGAATGTCACACTGCGGCTGAGTGTGGGAGACAACATGTGGGCTTTGTGTCATGAACATGAACAACATGAACTACGTGTGGTACCGCAGTGTCTCTGTGGTGTCTCATCAGTGCAGTCAGCGGTGTGAATGGAGTCTGAAGGTGTTTTCACACTTGGATCCACTGAAGAGGTTTGTGCTGGCCGCTGGCTGTTTGTCCCCGAGAGCTTTGTCTGTCGAAGTGTGAAAACTTTATGTTGGACCGGGATGTGCAGCGACACAAGACGTGGTGATGACATGTGCTGCTGCAAACTATAACTCAGAGAGATAAGAACAAATCCAATCCGGTGCTTTTAATAGAGGCCTCTCTTCTAGGAATAAAATTTAAAGGTGGATATTTACTTCCATATTTTCCTCCATCAAGCAAGTATATTGGTAATTGGTAGGTCAGAAGACATCTGAAGGTTTGGGTAAACAAGGAAAGTTAGTTTTTCTAGTATAAATCTAACTGTTGTGTCATCAGCGTTTCCATGTTGTTTAGTCTTTCTTCACACCAAAATAAAACCAAGTACTACCGGAACAATTATATGCAACCTAAATGTCTAAAAAACAAAATGTTTAAATTTCAACAAAGCTAATTTTAGTTTTATCACAGACATCTCAACATCTGTTAAACTGGAGAGTCACCAAGAATCTCTCAGACCACATTAAAGGTACAATGTGTAAGATATGGCCAGAATTGTAGTCTAAAACATTTAAAAGATGAACTACCGTTATCAACAAATTGTAAAGAAGTAACCGTGTTGACTTTATATCTAACTGTACGTTTACACCAACAGCGACCAGAGCTTCCAAAACGGTGGAAATCATTAATTTTCAATGAGAACCTGGCGACTTGGGCGACCTGGTCGTCAGCTGCGTGTCTTGGGAGACCAAAGCGACCAGAGCAGGTCCGGAGGGGAGTTAAAACTCATTTTACTTTACGGTAATGAGCTCTGACATGGTTCGGCAACAACCAGTCAGAATGCTGAAGTGCTTCGATGAAGCGGGTCCCAGAAAACATGCCATGTAACTTTGGTTCCTACAGCACACTTGTTCTGACAATGGATATCATTTATTACTTGCGTTCACGCCCACTCAGTCCTTCATAATGTGTCGCTGTTCAGTTACAGAGACCAAAAATAAAAAGAATGAGGCTTGGGACTGTGTCGTGGAGGTAGTTGGTAGGTCTGGTGTGTTTTAAAGTGTGTAATGTTAGTAATAGAGGAGAGAATTGCAGGTTAATGTTGCGATGTAGCATGGAAGTCTTCCTTGCTTGGTTTGAATGGGATGACATACCGCAAAGCATTTTATCAACACAGATTTCGCAAAACGACATTAAAATACAGACTGGACAACAGCAAGCAGCAACTACGCTGCTTTCAAGCCAGTAGTCCGCTTTGCGACTCCTTTAAATTGAAAAGCACGATCAAACATTCAACGATTCACGTGATGAGCGACTAGAGCAACCAAAGCTGCCACAAATATTTTTGACAGTCGTGCTTCTTGGGCGTCCGCGAGAGACTTTGCCTCTTTGGAAGCTTCTGGTTTGAACCTACAGTAAGTGCTGGCCCATCCTGTCTTGTAATACCACTTATACCTGGAGAGGTGATAGTGGGTCACTGTAGCATCTAGTCTGTCCTCAGTCCAAGATAAGGGGACAAAAAAGTCCAGTATTAGTTTTTATTGTTATGTTATACCTGCAATCTCCCCGATATGAAGTTAAGCAACCTTTTTATGTCCTGACTTTGTATTCCACAGTTGGAGAAACCTTTTTCGACCCCATCTAGCTTGCTTAGTGCAACAGTATAAACGGTAAACAATATACACCAAATATAACAATGTAAATAGTGCAGCACCATTTTTCAACACAACTTACCCCAACAATGCAAAACAATATTGTGATGAGTCGACAGATTGAGGTTCGGAAACAAATAGTTTGCATGTCTAGTGCAGAGATACACGCCCAAAAGAAAAGCCCATATTTGTGGTCAGAAGAAGAGCCACGTACTTTTAATAAACATTATGAAAGACTTGTGTATCGGCAGGTTTTTAGATATGAACAAATATCACAACATCGAAGGAGGTTGTGTTCACACGGCCCAACAAGTCTTTATCTAATATTTTGACATGATAAATGACATGTCAGGGCACATTAATCAATGTAAACACCAATATTAGTGAAATTCATTGTAATTAGTCATGTAAACAGCTTCGCAGGTATATTGTCTTTTTTGGAAATAAGGACAAAAAAATGAATATTTCCTGCTTGTAAACATAGTCAAACACTACCTGAACACACCTCCTAAATTGTTTTTTAAATGTTCTATCGTGAGGATAATACATGCAGAGGACTGAACGGCCTTGACAGAGATGCACTGCGAGGTCTGACTGATTTCTAGTTTGATATAAATAAATGAGACACATTGAAATATTGGCTGGTTGGCAGCTTATACAAACACGCTCAGTATTAAGCTTTAAAACCCTCAGAAGAAACATCAAATAAATCACCAGCTCATCCACTTTTTAGAGGAGGACATACACACACACACACATATACACACACAGTTGTATTTCCACCACTTCAGAGGTCATTTCATTTACTCCCCCTCATTTTCCTGGAGACCCGAACATTAACCACTACATGTCTGACACTTACCTGACCTTAGCCCAGGTCTTTCCCCTTTAATTTAAGGATTCACATTAAGGGGACTTATGTTTTGTCCCCACAAGGAAGGAGAGTCCCCACAGTGTGAATGTGTAAACAGATTTATGTTCCCACAACATGAGTAATACACATCCACACACACACACCCCACCTCACTGTCTTCAGCTGCTGAGTCTTCTCCTTCGGATGCTTTTTGGGGGGAGGAGCATCTCCTTCTACTCAGAGCAAAACCTCCATTGATCCTCCCTCCCTCTCCCTCCCTCTCTCTCCCTCTCTCTCCCTCTCTCCGGTGTTTTCTGCCAGTTCAGGACGAACTCCGCTCAGTTTCTCATCTCTGTGTCTCACGGCTGCTGAGGATGGATGCTCGGATCTTCACCCTGCATGTCCTGATGCTCTGCTGCCTCATTCACGGTAGGCTTAGTACACACACACACACACACACACACACACACGTGTCATGGATCAGTCCAGCTTTTCACTTAGTTTTGTTTCACTGTTGTTTAATTCACTGACAGAGCAGCAGGTAAACATAAAAAAACATCAAAATAATCTAAAACAGTAAGAGCAGTTCTCCTTCATGTGGCAGGTTTTCTTTTTTCTTTACAAAGGAACTAAAACCATAAACCAAAATCAATTAATGTAAAGGACAAAAAAAAAAAACTACAGCTAATCATCAAATTGTCAAAAATGCTTCATGAAACATTGTTTATTAAAATATTGTGACCAAAAGTCACAGGTTGTAAATATGAGAGCCACATTTTGATGAAACTGAATTTCTGAAGCTGTGACACCGAGTGTCTCTAATATATGCAGGAGGCTGATAAAATATTGAACATTTGTACATAATAATGTTATCTAGCACAACAATAAAAAAACAAACTGTGGCCTCAAAAATGAGAACAAACTTTTAACAAAATTTGAGCCACATTTCCAGACAATAATCTAAATAAAACCTGAATGTTTGCTTGTTTCCATCCAAACCTGTTGTGTAAATATGAATATAATATATATATATATATATATATATATATACAGTACAGGCCAAAAGTTTGGACACACCTTCTCATTCAATGCGTTTTCTTTATTTTCATGACTATTTACATTGTAGATTCTCACTGAAGGCATCAAAACTATGAATGAACACATGTGGAGTTATGTACTTAACAAAAAAAGGTGAAATAACTGAAAACATGTTTTATATTCTAGTGTCTTCAAAATAGCCACCCTTTGCTCTGATTACTGCTTTGCACACTCTTGGCATTCTCTCCATGAGCTTCAAGAGGTAGTCACCTGAAATGGTTTCCACTTCACAGGTGTGCCTTATCAGGGTTAATTAGTGGAATTTCTTGCTTTATCAATGGGGTTGGGACCATCAGTTGTGTTGTGCAGAAGTCAGGTTAATACACAGCCGACAGCCCTATTGGACAACTGTTAAAATTCATATTATGGCAAGAACCAATCAGCTAACTAAAGAAAAACCAGTGGCCATCATTACTTTAAGAAATGAAGGTCAGTCAGTCCGGAAAATTGCAAAAACTTTAAATGTGTCCCCAAGTGGAGTCGCAAAAACCATCAAGCGCTACAACCAAACTGGCACACATGAGGACCGACCCAGGAAAGGAAGACCAAGAGTCACCTCTGCTTCTGAGGATAAGTTCATCCGAGTCACCAGTCTCAGAAATCGCAAGTTAACAGCAGCTCAGATCAGAGACCAGATGAATGCCACACAGAGTTCTAGCAGCAGACCCATCTCTAGAACAACTGTTAAGAGGAGACTGCGCCAATCAGGCCTTCATGGTCAAATAGCTGCTAGGAAACCACTGCTAAGGAGAGGCAACAAGCAGAAGAGATTTGTTTGGGCCAAGAAACACAAGGAATGGACATTAGACCAGTGGAAATCTGTGCTTTGGTCTGATGAGTCCAAATTTGAGATCTTTGGTTCCAACCGCCGTGTCTTTGTGAGACGCAGAAAAGGTGAACGGATGGATTCCACATGCCTGGTTCCCACTGTGAAGCATGGAGGAGGAGGTGTGATGGTGTGGGGGTGTTTTGCTGGTGACACTGTTGGGGATTTATTCAAAATTGAAGGCACACTGAACCAGCATGGCTACCACAGCATCCTGCAGTGACATGCCATCCCATCTGGTTTGCGTTTAGTTGGACGATCATTTATTTTTCAACAGGACAATGACCCCAAACACACCTCCAGGCTGTGTAAGGGCTATTTGACCAAGAAGGAGAGTGATGGAGTGCTGCGGCAGATGACCTGGCCTCCACAGTCACCGGACCTGAACCCAATCGAGATGGTTTGGGGTGAGCTGGACCACAGAGTGAAGGCAAAGGGGCCAACAAGTGCTAAACACCTCTGGGAACTCCTTCAAGACTGTTGGAAAACCATTTCAGGTGACTACCTCTTGAAGCTCATGGAGAGAATGCCAAGAGTGTGCAAAGCAGTAATCAGAGCAAAGGGTGGCTATTTTGAAGAAACTAGAATATAAAACATGTTTTCAGTTATTTCACCTTTTTTTGTTAAGTACATAACTCCACATGTGTTCATTCATAGTTTTGATGCCTTCAGTGAGAATCTACAATGTAAATAGTCATGAAAATAAAGAAAACGCATTGAATGAGAAGGTGTGTCCAAACTTTTGGCCTGTACTGTATATATATTATATTCATATTTACACAACATGAAGTGTGTGAAGCGATGACGAGACTGTGACCTTCATCACATTAATACATGACACACACCGAAATGTCAGATTTCCATCATGTTTCCTTCCACGTGGTTTTCACTTTGACTGGAGTTCTCTGGAAACTGGACATTTAGCTCCATCAATTCTTTATATATATATATATATATATATATATATATATATATATTCTTTCGGTCTTTACACATTTCGATGTGTGTCATGTATTAATGTGATGAAGGTCACAGTCTCGTCATCGCTTCACACACTTCATGATTCATGAACATCATCATTTATTCATTGTCTTTTTCCATTTGCTTTTTATTCAGAAGCAAAACTTTTACACCTCAGACAAATGTAAAAAAAAAAAAAGTGTAAATATTTTGCTGAATGTCCAGTGTTTCCTCAAAGTTTTTTTTATGTAAATTGAAAATATTCATAGAAACAGGTGGATAAAAATATACTGCAAAGTACAGTCTGTACCGTCACCATGGAGAACAAAACCACAAAGGTAAAACAACAAAAAGACATCAGACAAAAAGACAAGACAAATTTGAATATATTTTAGGAATGCATGATAATATTGGTACGTCATGGGTAGCAGCCAATATCGGCTATCAGCCACCATGCTTTTTATTATTTTAAGTTAAGTATTCCATACATTGAACAGTATTGTATTTCATGTCTCCATCTGCTGGTGGGTCATCATGATAAGAGTATGCTTTAGGTGGGAAAAAAACTGATGTATCGATATCGGTTTTCAGGCAAAGAAATTCTTACATATCGGCATATCGTATGTCTGCAAAAAACCTGCATCTCTAATAGACTCCCATATGTGGATGAATGTTTTCTCCTTCCTGTTTTTTGGCTCTTCAGTGGCTCTTGGCTCTTACAGTGTGTTCTCAGTGCAGTGTAGGCAGGTGAACTGAAAAATCTTTATTTCCGCACCGCACAACAAGGAAAAAATCTGCATGAAGACAACAGATACCATTGATTAAAGCAAGCCTTTATAATAATGTAAAAACAAAGGTGAACATACTGTGTGTGTCCACTTTAAATTAAAAATTGTGCGCACATCTACAGTAGGTACCTTTAATCGTGGATAACTTATTAAATTTGTTCTGTAGTTTGTTGGATCCGACTGTTTCTAGTGTCTGGAGAGGCTGTCTGTAACCTGGTGGTTGGTTAACTGCTCGCTGCCATCTGTCTCTCCATTACTGAGGCCAGAATATCCAGAACGAGGAGATGAGAATTAGGGATGGGCTGAGATCACTCAAGCAAACCTGCTCCAAAACACAGTAACGTGCTTCTCTGTATGCCTTCATATCTCGTCACTGGAACTATGATGTTCAGATTTTACACAAAGACACAAAATAGAAAGACTTGGATTATTTTTTGAAGTTTGAATTTCTGAGGAAAAGCTTTTCGTTTGTTTTTATTCACTTCTGTACATTAAAAGTTTATTTATATGACATTACATGACCTGCACCGAAAAGGAATAGAAAAGGAAAGGAATAAAAAAAGTCACTGTAACGTCAGCAGTCAGCAACCAGTTAACTTCAAACAGTGTAAAATAGATTTGTCACTGTGTGACTGGTGGAGGAGCTCGTTTGCACAGAACCAGTGTTCAACATGTGCTTGTAGAAAAAGGAGTGCATGGTACAACTACTTTTGATTCATTCATTCATTCATCCATTTCCGTAACCGCTTATCATCTTGAGGGTCACTGGGGGGCCGACCAGCTGACATTGGGTGAGAGGCGGGGTTCACCCTGGACAGGTCACCAGACTATCACAGGACTGACACATAGAGACAGACAACCATTCACACTCACATTCACACCTAAGGACAATTTAGAGTCACCAATTAACCTGCATGTATTTGGACTGTGGGAGGAAGCTGGAGCACCTGGAGGAAACCCACGCTGACACAGGGAGAACATGCAAACTCCACACAGAAGGGCTCCCCACCCTGGTTTCGAATGAGCAACCCTCTTGCTGTGAGGCAACAGTGCTAACCACTGCACCACCGTGCTGCCCACACAACTATGTTTTAGAGTTTCAATTTTTTCTTACAAACCAAAGGAAAATCTCAGACTTTAATAGTCATGTGTTGGAATATTAAAGCTTAAAGTCACTTGAGTCGTTATGTCCTCTGCTAAGACTCAAACACACACGTCACACACCACAGTCTAAACTACAGAAGTCTGCTTCAGCAGCTCCGTCTCTTCGTGTGGATTAATCTTGCTTTGTTTCCTTTCATTTGTCTCCTGTAGACTGATCAGACAGATCTGCAAACAGCACAAAGAGTCAGACACTGACTCAGTTAAAGACATAAGGTGACCCACCTGAACTTACTTTGCTCAAGTTTTGAACCATTAAGCTTTATCAATACACAAAGCATATGTTATATTTTTGAAAGCTAATACCAGTGTAGACTTAAAAGTCCAGAACGGACAAACCAAGTACTGGCTCCAGATAGGGACATTCATGTTTTAGCATTGGCCACCGTAGTTAGAAGCCCCTCTGTGACGAGCAGCATCGGAGAAACACTGATTTTTTTTAAAATGGTAAGTGCTTTATTTTGTGTTTTAAACAGTTTTAATCACCTGGTCCGTTTGTTTTGGAGAGGAAGAAACCTCTAAGGATAATGCAGCTTCCACTAAAAACCTCCTGAACAAAGAGCGCTGAAGGAATTCTTGAGAAGTTTCAGGTGGTTGCAATCTGCAGTCCTCACCACTAGATGCCACTAAATCCCCCTGAATCTGACACACTGGACCTTTAATATCTTAAAATGTATTTACATTAACATGTCATTAAGCATCATAAAGGAACATTCTAGTCCCTTTAAATAAATAACATGTACAGACATCAGCAACACTTATAGACATATGTTTTAAATAACATTTCCCTTTTAGAATGCTTATTAGTTAAAGTCACGTGTACCATGTTCCTGGTTAGTTTCCTCGTTAGGACATTTGTTTTATGCCATGTCCCTCGCTCTCCCTCCAAGTTTCCTTACTGTCTCTACTGGCAAACTATTTTATAAAAGCAGAAATGTCAGTAAACCCATAAATAATTTATACAGTTTTTAAACATGTACTTCAGTGATTTAGTATTGAACTTTCATAAAGTTGAGGTGCTTAAGATAAGAAAGAAGCAGAGCAACAGAGGCTGAGATATGTTGATTTTAAGTCACTACTTTTGGTCAAACTCCAAACTCCCTGTTCCTACATTTCCCATGATTCAGCTTAATAGTTTCTTTTGAAACAGCCACAGCTTTTAAACATCTTCAGTTTATAACTCAGGCTCTTTGTTATAGATTTGTAAGTTCAAGTTTCGATGACCTCAGTGCCGTCATTATGACATCATCAGAGTTATTTTCTCCCGCAGAGCCACAGAAGGCATCAAGCAGGCTGAGCTGGACTAACGACCAATAAAATGATCTTCATGTCTTAAATCGACTTCCCCTTTAAAGCCTAAAACTTTTTTTCTGTTTTACACAAAACAACAGATTCACCTTTAAACTGAGTTAATGCATCAGCAGGTGGAGCGAACTGACACTGAAAGGGAAACTGTCTCTGTTGCTTTGAACTCTTGTCCTCTGGACGTCTGAGGTGTTGACAGTGACCCTGAGTGCAGGGACGGGCCTGACAGTGTCTCACCCTCCTCCCCTCACAGCTGGTCAGGGTCTCATCCAGCAGCTGTCAATCATCTGGATGAGCTTTCATCTTTACTCTGACTGATGCAACCGGCACCCATAAAGCCCTTAAGGCTCCTTTACACTGTGCGACTTTGAGCTGTCTGAGATGAAAGGTGACAATCGTGAGAGAAGAAGCACATTTGCAGCTTTGGAGTCTCTGACAGAGGCGAACGTGCCAACCTTGAGACCTCTAAAATATGGAGGATTTGGAAATGAAAGTAGGGGTCTTTGGTTTCTGCCCCAGAAAAGTTGAGGCTCAGAACTTTGCTTCCTGTGCTCAGGTGACTTTCAAAGAATGAAAATAACAAAATATTAATTCATTCATTATATCTAACCACTTACCCTGTTTAGGGTTGTAGGGAGGCTGGAGACCATCCCAGTTGACACTGGGCAAGGGGCAGGGTACACCGTGGACATGTAGAAACAGACAGTTTCACAAAATGCATGCTCCTTTACTTTCAAACTTAACGTACGAAACAGGAATTCTTTTTCCCACGACATCTGAAATTTGCTCGGGTATTTCTTTCTCCTAGTACTCTCCATTTCTCTCTCTGTCTCTCACCTACTGAGGCTGACAAGGTGCGAGCAGCTCTCCTCTGCATCATGAGCACACCAGGAAACAAAATTTGGTAACTTTTAGAGTCGTTTATACACACTACAGTGCCAGAGACTGGTTGAGACGATGAAAATGAAAATGGTGTGAAAATTTGTCATAAACTGGGAGTAACATGAAATTGTGACCCCAGAAAGAAACCAGCAGAGTCCTGCATGGGTCCATTTTTGAAAACCCCTACCAGCCCATACCTGTAAGGTTCAGTACCAGAACCGACATGTTGCACATCATAATGTCTCAGTCAAAGCTGCACCCTTTAGTGAAGTCCCATGACCCGACCCACACCTGTGATTAAACACACACAGGCTACAGTCACTCACATTAAGTGTTCTTGAATTACAAATCCAACGGAGGAGACGTCTCTTTGACTGGCTGCGCTCGATGTCGGGATGGTGAAAACATTCAATCACTGCCAGGTTAGGAAACATTTTAGCATGCTCCTTCCACCACCATAAAACCCCAAAAGGATCCTCCTTGGGTGTCTTGAACTCCTTGTAGGCTGCCACCTCATCCTCGGGCTGCAAGGTTTCATGGCTGGAGTCCCCCACGGAGGTGACGAATGTGACGACAGGGTCAGAGGTTCAACTTTTGTCATTGACTTTCAAAATAAAAGGAATTGTGGCTTGATAATAGTGATTGGGATGTCGAAATATTACACATACACTGCACATCTTTTTCATTTGTTTTATTCTGAATTTTTTTTTCCCTCATCTGCTGCTCACCCACATGTAGTTCATTTTTTATCTGTGCCCATACCCATGAATATATATATATATATATATATATATATATATATATATATACTGCTGTGAGGACCCACAACCACAAGCCAGCCAATCAGAATACAAGGTGGAAAGACATAACGATTCATAAGCAACATTTGTCAGTAAATTTTAGGGGAAAAAACTAACATACAAACCAAACGCATGTTCATGGTGTTGCTTTAATTTAATACATGCTCTGCTCTCACATGCTTTACAGTCTCTCCAGGATGTTGCATTGTTGCGGCCACAAAAACTTATGCAGCTTTGGCCAGTCCCCCTGAATTCTGCGCGACTTTGCAATTCTGTCCTGGCGTTGCAGCTTTAAAGAAAATTTGACTATTTAAGTGGGTAGAATCTAATTTCATTGTAGAGCTACATGCAGCGTATTGATTCATTCGGGACAGGAGCTCTGTGCCTGAGTCCCACGCACAGTGACAGGTGACCATATTTTGATTTCCAAAGAAGAGGACACTCGCCCCAGCCACAAGATAGCCTACTTAAATGATACTCGCAGTTTACTCAAAGATGCCTTATAATTTTAATATATTTAAAATTTATATGTATGGATAGAAAATTCAGTTATATTACAAAATAATATCTCTCAAAGACAGAAATTTAGATAGGCTTCTCAGAGGTTACTCAGCTTGCTTTTATTATGCCTAAAATAATAATCTTTTTACAAGTTTCAATTGTACAAAAATAAATATAAATGTAAAATAAATGTAAAATCTCTGGAATGAAATAACGATAGAAATAATGTACCTTCTGTATTAGAAAAATCAACTTACAGCTATAGCTATCTTTGCAAGTCTTACTGGACAAATAAATAAATAAATAATATGAAATAATGTTCTAAATAATATCTCTTCTGTATTAGAAAATCCAACTTTGAGGTCCTCGGCACCTTTATTAGACACAGAATCATATGTGCCAGCTTTGCACACGGTGCACTCAGCCTCCCATATATCCCGGCCGGGTTGGGACGGTAAGTTGGGAATTTTTTCTGCAGTTCATCTGTGAAGCTGCACTTGCGATTCGGCATCTTGGAAGCTTAGAATAATGCTGCGGCGCCGGTGTCTGCTGCTTCCTCGTTGTGAGTGTTGGAAATCCGCCGATAAGGCAGCCTCTCAGGAATTACACACACACACGCACACACACGCACACACACACACACACACACACACACACACACAAGGAAAACCGGACATTACCCCCGGACGCCCCGGACAGGACGTGAAAAGTGGACATGTCCGGGCAAAAGAGGATGTTTGGTCAGCCTAGTTATTAACAGGTTTGAGTTGAGCCATTTTGGTGCCGGTGTGAGATACATAGGTTGGTGTCAGATGTTAAACGCTGCTGCAGAGCCTCTGCCCAAGCAGCGAAATATGTTGAGTAGTGATAAGATCATTTTGTGCCATGTAAGCTCGTGCTAACCAAGCAGAGACAACAGAAGGAAAGCGACTCAAAGAGATGGTTCTTCAGTGCACCTTCCCACCCCTAACCCCTCTACCGTCACATATAAATTCTATTTCTGTGGGAAACACTAATAATAATGAGGTCCGAATCCAAGACAGCATCACAACTATGTTTGCAGTTTTCACTTTGACTTATAAACATCGCAACATGCCATGAAATCAGGCATTTAGGGCTGCAAGTATGACAGAAACAAGCCACAAACCCTGGAGGGACTGACTTTATTATTGACCACACATTCATGGCACAGTCTGACAGCCTCATATTGATATAGAAAAGTATGACACAGATTGTGACCAAGATTTTATTAGACCGTCCCGTCAGTGTGACAAGCAATAAACTCACTGTGGTCACAGTCTAAACACACATTTACTCCTCTCTTTCCTCCTGCTTTCAAGCACCGGCCACACACACACACAGGAAATCATTTATATGTCCCAGAGCATCCAACCATCATTGTGATCAAAAGATTCAAGCACCAACACACCGGCTGATCATGTAGAGTTTATTCCTTTCATTTATTTTTACATGAAAAACATTTGATGTCTTCTGCTTTCACACAGAGGCTCCGATCTTTATCACTCTGCACAAAAAGTTTACACAGATTTCCTCATCTAAATGTCCATTTCTGCGTCTGTTCCCGCCGGTATCTACAGACGGAAGGAAGTTACAGGATGAAACAAGTCGACCTGCTCTCCCTCAGCACCAATTTACATTTATGGCTTTCATCCAGGGAGACTCTCAGAGAGCGCAACAATCAAAGAGGACTCAGCCTCTGCATCACTGAAGTTACAAACATCAGTGTTTTCTTGCTGAGCACAAACCGTCACGATGGAAGTTCCAACAAATATGCAGCCAGTTATGGCTGAGAGGACTCATTTGTCGTACTCGTATTCTGATTTACACAGTTATTGAAGCAGCTGTGTGTGTGCTGATGTGTGTATATGTGTGTGTGTGCAGGCTCCCTGCAGGGTGTGTACCAGCGGCGTCTCTACAAGGAGCTGATGAGGAACTACAACCCGTTAGAGCGACCGGTCAGCAATGACTCTCACAGCCTCACTGTCCACTTCAGCTTCAGCCTGCTGCAGATCATGGACGTGGTGAGAGCACACACACACACACACACCCACCCACCCACACACACACACACACAAATAGACCCTCGATTTGATTAGGTGAATGATTTATTAAAGAGCCTCCCTGCTGGTGGCTGTCATCGTGCATTCTGGAGCTAATTGGCCAAACAAAACCAGGCACTATCGCGAATAAAACTCTGAACTAGGTTTTAGGGGGAGAACCAGAGTTTGGTGCTGAGGTTATAATAGCGTGTCCACATATTTTTGGCCATGTATTGTAGTTTTCATAGGGAAAAACAACAAACAGCTCAGATTCAGAGCAGATCGTTACTCTAATCAGCCGCCGCAGGATTGATACTCATTACTGACTTCAGTGATTAACTCTCACACTGTGAAGTCAGATGGTGTAATACACACAAACACACACACACACACAGTGATGAAGGATGTTCATTTAATGATCACACACTCATTCATCTCACGCACATCTTCCACCCACTTTAGCAAACACTCAGTCTGCCTCCTGCCAGGTACTGACAGCTTTCATCTTTGCTATCACAGCACGCGACCACACACACACACACACACACACACACACACACAGTATAAGGCCATCATTAGATATGTCAGAGGTCTCTAACACTTTCCACTCTCTGTGAGTTTCTTGTTTAGGTTTCAAAACAGAGCTGCAGACTGACAACACACTGTTTATGCTGCGTGTGTGTGTGTGTGTGTGTGTGTGTGTGTGTGTGTGTGTGTGTGTGTGTGTGTGTAACTGAAACACACTCACATGTGCACACAAACAAACAAACACACAAACAGACACACACATGCACAGAAATACAGATGCACTCAAGCCCCACTATGGCACTTTCTTACTGCAGGAAAGTGGGGCGGCTTGACTTCCACAGCATGTGACAACACACACACGCGCGCATGCACGCACGCACACATACACACACACAGTTTGACCCAGCAGGTGGTCCCAGAGAAGAATTCTGTGTGAAACAACAGCTCTGTGCCGCCACAGTTGTATATCAAACCGTTAATACTTTATGAGTTTCAGCTGAGGTTTGTCTGTAGCCTCATATATAAACACTCACACACTGACAGGTGACACTGAAGGTTCGGTCAAGTTGTTAAAGGGTCGGGTGTAAATAGTTCAGAATAAAGTCTCTCAAAGTTTTGACATTTGTGTCTGAGGTGTAAAAGTTGGTGAGTGAATAAATGAGGACGTACATGAAGGATGAAGAGCTAAAAACATGAGACTCTCTGCTCGGTGTTTCTGACAGTTCCTCTGCTGGAGGGAAACCTCACGTCATCCAGGTTCTCCCTCAGATATCAGTCTGCTCACTTCGTAGATTTCATCATCACTTTGGACTTTAAATTCCTCAAACTGTTCTTATAGTGTGAGCTTCAAAAGAAAGAGCACAGAGACGAGTCTAGGACAAAAGACAGCATCAGTCTGAACAACAATAAACAACATAATTACAGTAATCAGTCAGAGGGGTAATTAAAGACTCTCAGTGTTTCATAGAACAAAATAAACATAATATATTTTGCGGGGGCTCAATAGAGTTCGTGATCAATAGCAGTGACTCAGCCTGAACCTGGCTGGCTGCTGAGCGTTCAACTTTTACAGACTTTAGTTTGGTCGACTCAACTTTCAATCTGACCACTGTCACGTGAGCCTCCATAGGAATTATGCAAATCTGCAGGAAAGCCCAATCAATCGTCGTTCAGCATTGGCAGTATAAAAACAAAATCGGGGAGTGCAGCAATTGCCCCTGCCTACTTTTGTTCATACAGAATGTGCCTTCTTTGGGGCAATGGGGGGCGTGAGCAAGTAACAAAATGTGTAGCTCAGCGTGTGACGTGGGAGGGAAGCCGCGGCTGGTCAGTCCTTCGGCGATTCTCTCGTAAGTCAGCCTATCCTTCACCATCTGACGGTTAAAGGATAACTTCGGTATTCTCCCCCCCATGTGTATGTGTGCGTATGATTCATAGGTACAACTCGTTTTAAAATTGGTTCAGTATTAGGGGGGGGGGAGCAGCCGGCAGCGGCGAGGTAGCTATGGGGCAAATGCGTCCCGTATAAGTTTGCGCATTAAAAGTGCTTTTTTCGCCACTGACCAGTTTAGATCAGCAGTGCTATCTCTGCAGATAGCATACTAAGCATTTCCCTTACCCTTCACCTCCTCCCGGCTGTGTGTGACGTCATCTTGCGAGAGCTTTGCTTGTTGCCGGAAGAAAACAGAGGAGCCATGCTGAGCGCCGCACAGAGTGGTGCTGGTTGTCCCGGAGTACAGCTGAGAGTTTTCCTGCATCGGTATCATGGTTGCATATTTACCCGATTTCGAGAATGAAGATGAGCCCTTTTATTACGATGGCCACCTGTACTTATTTGAGCCCGAGTATACAGACGAGGAGCTCCTACAAATTGAAGAGCAGACAAGGATAGAGAGAGATGGCCAACGAGCAGACGAGGGTGAAGCAGCGGCTGCACGAACGCGAATCCCTGAGGACTGGTGGTGCTCCTGTGGTTGCTGTGACTCCATGCCCACAGAGGAAGAATGTCTGTGTTGCAACGAGTGGGACCTGTTGCCCAATATTCATGGTCTCGATGTGTCCTGGGATGATACAGAAACTACCAAACGCTGTGTAACTACGTTAGAGGATTTCCCCCCGTTTCCTGTTTATCCACCGCCAGTGGCTCGCACGTGTGGCATCATCAACAGCCCCTCCCACAAGTCATCAACAGCCCCTCCCGTGGCAGAAGGGCGCCTCGTTCTTCTTAAACCAAAAGGGTTCCACCAATATGTCTACCCCTATGCGGCGGAAAATTGGGCACCTTTGATCAACTCGACACGCTCACAGCTTGCCGGCAAAACGGCCCAACATTTGCTGAAAATCTGGCAGTGTAAAAGGGGCTACTGTTCCCATTATTCCTTGATTTCATTCTTCTTCTACTTTCAAAACGTTTATCTGAGTGAACACACAAAGAACATTTGCTCAAGTACTTTTACAACTACAATTTTGAGCTTCTTTTGTTTTAATTGAGTATTTACTATATACTTCACCACATCTAAGAGGGAAATATCGCACTTTCTCCCACACTACATTTGTCTGACAACATAAGTTACTTTCCAGATTCCACATTCTCCAGGGTGAATCACAAATGTGAGTAAGTCTGAGAGATCAAAATCTGGAAGCAGTTGGTTAGACCTACAACCAATCAGAGCAACAGACTGACCAGCTGGGCAGATGTGCCCAGTGTGATACTCCTATAGTTGCAGCACACCCTCTGGTCCTCTTTTTTTAGGCCTTTCACATTATTTCTTATTTGTATCTGATCTTCTTCGTCAGCAGCAATAAACTCTTTGAGACCTGACACCTGTCATGTCGATCCATCTGGCCTCATTAGGTCATTAGTCTTGGTAAATACACGACTACGTTAGATAATTAATGATATTTTGCACCTGTTCTGTAATTTGAGCTGTAATTTTCATCAGATTTAGAGAATATCTTCCAACTTCACCAATATTTTCATATAATGACGAGATGAATTTAAAAAATAGTCTTTATTAATGATTTAGATTTCTATCATTCACTCTGAGCATCATTACTTTGTTCCACTTCTCATTTCCTTACTTAATCATCAGATCTTCTCATGACTTAATTTCATCATTTTTTACTTTAATCAGCCTCTTGAGTCAGATATACATTTCGTCTTCAGTATATAAGATCATCCATTCACACTGTCATTTGTTTCTTATTCCAACGATGTGAGACATTATTCCATATTCTCTCTTTTCTCTCATCGTTTTCGGGTCTCATCACTTTATATCACCAACTCTTCTTCTTCATCACACAGACACAGTTGCATCAATTTGGATCAATTTTAAAAAGACTGACTCGACTTCATCTTTCTGGTTTTCATCCATTTTCATCATTCACAACAGCGTTCGAAACCTCATTCTTCACCCAGCCTTGTAATTCATTACTTATTAAAAATCAGATAATGACACAGATTCAGATTCAGCAGAAGCAGCTTTTTTACTCCTGCAAATTTTCTCTGTCGTCTCCTGTGAGACATCACATTGTTCTCAGTGTTTCATGTGCTGATCTCAGGTGGATCTTTAGATAGACTCATCTTCCTCTTCTACAGGTTATTTAAGAGCAGCTTGTCTTATGTAAGTCTGCATCAGTCCAGCAGCTAAAGGGGGCTGAGTCTTCATGAGTGCTGTGGAAAACCTTTACTAAAATTAGTTCCACATATTAAAGCATGGAGACTAAGCATGCAGCAGGGACGACCCAGCACAGCAGGTAAAAAACACAACATTACACAACAGCAGGGACATTTTACTGTAACTACAGCCACTACACTAATGAAGCCGAGTGAAAAGTGAAGTAAGTGGGGCTTAAACTTTTCTCTGTAGCTCTGTAGCTCTATTTTTTGTTTTTGTTCATCTCACAGCTACATCATGAACGCCCTCGAGGTAAAACTGTCTCAAAGTGTGCTTAAGTATCACTATTTGTGCAGTTCATCACATCTTGCCTCTCTCTATGACGACAGGCTTAGTTATAGACACTCTTTCCTTTATGTGTGGTTTGATGACACATTGCACAAACTAGTTGTTCAGAACATTCTCATTCTCTCACTCTCACAGCTGTTTTCTTTCGTCATTCGCGACCGGCGTAAGCAAATGCAAGCAGAAATCCTAAAAAATGATAACCAGTGGCACATAGAAGCTGTTTATTACAATATTTGGGCTAAAATATGAATCTGAAACAAACTATTGAAATATGAGTATTTGGAACGAGTGATGGGATGTAACTGCGTAAATTCACTCACGTACTGTCCTTAAGTACAAATTTGAGGTATTTTCAGTCTTAATTACTTCATACTTCTACTCCACTCCATCTAAGAGGGCAATATTGTACTTTTCACTTCACTACAATGATGTGACACTTCGTGACAAATCTGGAGAAGTATTGGAAGTAAACAAGTCGCCATTAATGCTGTGGCGTCTCCCTCCCCCACGGTTTGAATGCAAGCTGTCCTAAAAAGGCACAATTTTCTCCCTTTGCTTTCTATGTAAAGTTACTGTGACAACAGGAAGAACCTGTGCAGTTCACAGCTGCTCCAACAGCAGCTAAGCTAACACTGCCTAGCTAACAGATAATGGTAATATAGCCAACATTGGTGGGCTAATGTTACTGTCTAGGCCAGGGTGAGTAAATTGCCTCAATCAGCTAACTGTGGCATTATGGTGAAATGTAATGTTAGTTACTCTCCTGGGCAATGACCACAAAGTAAACATCACAAACTGTTAAGAACACAATCAGAACATGTAGGTGTCCTTGTAAAAGCTTTCAATGTTACTTTAACCAATTAAATACATCTGTTTATTATTAACGCTAAGTATTTACACAAGTTATTACGAGCAACTGCCGATGTAATCAGCTAAAAGTCACCATTTAACACGGTCACTTGTTGAACCGAAACACCAGCAGCTCTATGTTTAATAGGAATTTAGTCACTTTAGTTAAAGAAGACTTTATTTCCATTTGCAGTATTATATTTGGAGGTATGGCTCTGTTCTGGGGCCTCTCTGCTTTTACTAGGCCTACGCACAAAGCCTAAGGCAGAGAGAGTAAACCTCCCTGCCCTTCCATGTGCCTACATGGAACGCCTAAGGCAGGGAGAGCACACCTCCCTGCCCTTCCTTGCGCCTACATGAAAAGCCTAAGGGGGAGAGCAGCAGCAGAGTCCCCCGAGAACAGAACAGAGAAACATCAATGCTGACTCCATCAGCTGATCCATCAGTTGATCGGGCTGTTTGAGATCAGATGTAGCTGGGATGCGAGCTGAGCTTGACATCATGTCCTGCCTGAACTAACACTATGCTCAGTTTGGCAGACAACAATATTTTCTACATTTTCTGCCAAAGTTTGTTATCAGTCAGCTGAGATAAATTAGGAAATCTTTAACATTTGCTGCTGTCACTGTCAACAGGCACCAGCAGATACCAGTGACCTCCCACTGCAGTAATGGTGGAGCCGCAAGATGGTGGAATACACAAAGTGGTCAAGTCACCCCCCAACCCCCCCCCCCCCAAAAAATATGATATGTTGCAGTATCGTACTACGTTTTTTTTTTTTTTTCACTGTAATGTCACTGTGTTTCCAGACAGATTTGTGCCCCTATAAGTGGGTATTTTTACATACACCTTTTGCTAACAATAATCCATTGGTTTCAACAATCCGCTACATAATAACGTACAAATGTAACACACCTGTAGTTTGCAAAAACGTACAATACCAACATTATTTCTGGGAATTGGGTTGTGAAACGAGCTACGAGCCTTTCAGAGCACATCTCAAGCCCAGAACATAGATTTTCAGTGGATAGAAAGAGAGAGGCAGGATTGTCATATAGTCTTTATGTCCAGCTACAGTACACACTGATAAAGGACGAGGCCAACAGGGAGGTAAAGTAACAGAGGTTTCATTAACAGAGGGTTTCTGGCATTTACTGTGAAGCAGCAGCTGCACGTTAGCACACACCACATTAGCTCATAATCTCATAAAAAGTGATTTTTCTTTTTATTGTGACTTTAAACTCCGAGATCATCCTGCTCAGTCTGTCAGGAGCCTTCAGCTCTGCTAACAGAAGCCTGTCAGGGCGCTGTGGGCTGTGAGCTGTGAGCTGTGGGTGGTGGCAGCTATCGGCTCCTATCATCTCCTTTCACAGCTGCTTGCTGTTTTGCCTCGTTGCTCCTGAGTTTTATATCCAGTCGAGTTGGTTTTCTTCCTGGCCAGCCGGTCTGCTCTGTGTCTCCCAGGTTAATGTTCAGGTTGAAAAGAGCTGAACTCTGGTGTCCTCCCTCTCTGCAGCCGAGGACAATAAGCTTTACAAACACATTCAGGCTGCTGCTGCCTCTGTGACTTTGATAAAGCATTCATGTATACAGTCAACACCTCTGCTGTAAACATGATTTATTGCATCATTTCTGTTCTTTATTCAGGAAAATACTTCACATTATAGTGTGAGGGCTTCTTACATCAACACATTATAACTAGTCAACATCGTGGTACGGTGAGAAAAATACACAAACATCATCTATCAAAATATATATGTATAGGGACGAGCAGCTTATCTCAGACGTCTTATATTTGCACTCGTTATATTTGCTCTCAGCCCACTTTTTATTGCAAGTGCGGCAGTTTTCCTCTGGATAAATAAAGTTTATTTTATACATTTAGGATGACACGGTTCAACAATTTACACGTGAAGAACTGAGTATTGACTTTTTGAACTGTACAAGTTTCCATTTTTATTCTTTATTGTTGTAAAGTTACAGTGAAATAATAAGTAGTATTCCATGTATCTAATTTTTATCCCATCATAAGTACATATTTAAAGAGTCTCTGTGGTTTAATACAACTTAAGGCCTTTGCACACTGAGTCCGTTTTTCTGGATGACATAATGCTCACGTTGTGTATGTAACAAATGTACTTGCACCAATCTGTGTGCCCATGGGCATGTCGGTCTTAAAATGAGGTGTGGTCAGGTGCATTGCTGGCGTATTGCTATTTTGAGGCAGTGGAAAGCAATTTCTCCATTGACCAACTAAAATCTGGTCTTAAGTCAGAATGGTGCAGTATTTTCCTGCTATATTTAAAGGACGCATTATTCAGATTGTAAGATGCACGTACATAGGCAGGGTCACAACACATGTACACTCTGCTTGTTACACACACATGGACGTGTGGATGGGTTGCAGGTGGGTGAAACAATACATCATTAATGAGGAAAATAATAGTGACATTCTGTAAGATGTGAACGTAGCAGAGATCAGAGCAGAGCTGCAGAGCTGCTGTCTGACTCCCCATTAAGACAGACACTGTAAGTGTTTAGCATGAGGAGCAGCGTACCTTCATTGATTATTTCAGAGGCTTAAAGTTTAGTTCTTTTTCCTCTGTCGAGTTTCTAACTACAGTTTTTGGTTTTGCTGCTTATGTGTCACACAATATTTGCTGCAGACATCACTTCTCTTACAGCATAACTTTCAGCAGGAAACCACTCGCTTCTCCAATTTGACAAATTCACCATATAAATAGCAGCACACCAAGTGCAAACACACCTGGCTTTCAAAGAGAATGAGGGATTACACTCTGATTGGTTGACTTCATGTGACGCCCACAACACACCTATGACTACATAAGGGACTACAAAAAAACCCCTTTGCTCCTTGTGCCTTTCTTTGCACTCAGATTATGTGTTGTTTAACTAGTGAAGTGGAGGTGGACACGACCTAAATGCACTCAAGACTGTCTGCTATGGATCGCTTTGATAGGACCCTCCATGTTTTATTGTTTAACAGTATTTTATCAAATTATGTGTTTTTAGAAACTGATTAAAGGAAAAAGATCCTTTAGTGTCAAAGTCCCAGCATGGACCAAGCATGGATATCCTGTATATCCTATATTCAGTATATCCTCTTCTTCTTCTTCTTCTTCTTCTTCTTCTTCTTCATATGAAATACAAAATGCTTGGTATTCATAGATCACACCCAAATCATCACAGGTTTTAGACGTCAACAGTTAAATGGAGATCACCTGTAGCCAAATGGCTTCTCTCGATTGTTGTAAAAATACACACTTGTATGTGAAAAGTCCAACTTTTGGTGAGTCAGTAAAACTTTTACACCATAAGAGAAAAAAATAAGAGTCCAAGCAATTCCATAAAAGTTGACTGAAAAGCAGAAGTCGGGGGAAAGATACAAGAAAAACTTGGACTGAAACCAGCAACATGTTCATCTGTCTCTCAAGACGTCCCGTCTGTGTCTCTCAGCTCCAAGCCCATTCATTCCTACTGAAGTCACAAATCTTTAAAAGCATATATAAATTTCCATCATTGATTTCTTAAACAGCTGCTCACTGTAATTTTCAATGGGAAAGGGTATTTTTGTTGGGTCTATTTCTAGTGGCGGATTAATCCACATTTGGTGCTCTGATGAGTACTTATGGTGTAAGTGGGATTGAGTCAAAATAAACTACAGTGTGTGTGTTCATACTAATGAAGGAACAACAGTGTGGCGCACTAACGTGTTTTAACAACAGGAAGAAGATCTATCAGACTCTAGAGTAGCTGAGTAGATACATTCAGTGTTGAACTAAGTGAAGGGCAGGTATCTATTAAATCATTATAACCTTTAATGTCTCACCTTGGGGGAATCTCCCTCCTCCTGCAGGGCGGCCGCTTGCTTACAAAGCCTCATCTTTTAATTCTCTCAGTATGCTCGGCTACCTGAGCATGAATTAACAGGGCGGACATTCATCAAACTGACGTTATTCATATTCATCCTCGCCTGCCATCTTTAAGATTAATTTAAAAGGATGAAAGAACGAGAGGAGAGAGGACAGAACCATGACTGCGGTGAATCAGAGGGTCTTTAGTTCATCAGCAAACAGAACAAACACTGATTGTTTTGTTGTTTTTCTGCTTTTAGGATGAGAAGAATCAGGTGCTGACCACCAACATCTGGCTACAGCTGGTGAGTTTTCTTCTTGACTCTGCTGTTTGAGTTCAAACATGTCAAAGTAAGTGTTTATGACTCCCCAAAACTGTTCCTCTGTTCTGTTGCACCTCCTCAGTATCAGTTTAATCTACACCCTTTATCTTGTGTTCCTATCTGTTGTCCTTTTACATCAGTATATTATCTATGATCTTAGTGAAACATCCTGAACCTTAGAGCAGAGAGCATTGTGTGTGTATTTGTCACTGTTGTGTGTTTCCCATACAGTAAGCATCATTTCTTGAATGTTGTTAGAAGTTTCAAGAACCACTGCTAGAACTTTTCCAAAAACTCTGAAGTCTTTCCAGCATTTCTCACCGACATTATGTAACTGTGTCGATGGCCTAAAACCTTGTGTTAGTCTTGGGGAAACAAAATACACACTCCATTTTGTCTTGCAGCCACATGCTAAGAATCATAATGAAGAGATAAATTAGACCAATAAGAGATTAACAAGATTTAGGAGTCCACATTGATGGCTCTCAGAGGCTGTACAGACACACTCATTTTTACTTAATCAAACTTTTCAGGAAGTCAGCTGCATAAAATTCAGTTTTTGACATCAATAAACATTAGTGAGTCAAATCAAGTCAATTTTATTTATATAGCCGAATATCACAAATTTGCCTCAAGGGTTGTTACCACCTGTGCAGCATGTGACACCCTCTGTCCATAGACCCTCAGTTTAGATGACGGAAAACTCCCCAAAAGAACGTTTAGCAGGGAAAAACAAAAAGAAGAAAGAAACCTCAGGAAGAGCGACTGAGGAAGGGTTCCTCTCCCTGGATGGACAGACAGGAAATTGATTGCTGTGTGTACAGAATAACTAACATCACAAAATAACAGTATGGACAATGACAGAACTATCAGTCCAGTCACCACAAGAAAATGTTGGTATTGTGTTTTTCGCAAACATTTCATTTGTACCTTTCATATGTATCATATTGACATTTCTAAAGTGACGTAATATGTGCGCTGACGTTGACATCAAGAGGTGGATTGGATGGTGTATGGTGTGTCACCTTGGTGAGACGCCTGCCAAGCTGCAGACTTCTGTTTGAGACCAACAAATAATAAAGGGTGGTTGTTTTTTACCAAGACATTGCTGTGTTTCCAGCTGTGATTGTGCTGATGAAAAGCGGGTATTTAAAGCCAAAATATGATCTACCCCAACCCTAACCATGTGGTTTTTGTGCATCATTAGACGTTTGAGGTTCTGATGTTGGGTGACCAAAATTCAATGTCAGGACAACATCCAACGGCAACATGAATTTAATGTAGAGTGTATAAGAATGGATCCGGGAAAATATCAAGCAGCTTCAGTAATAACAATAGTACTGTACCTCTGCAGAGGGGAGAATTCAACAGATCGACAGACTTTACAGTGTTAGTTATCTGTTCATTTTAAAGTACTCCACAGGGGGGAGGTACTACTAAAAGGTTCTGAATGCACCATGTAGAGCATTAATGTAGCAGCAAATCACTATTTGCTATGTAAAGATACAGTGGAGTAATGGCGTCCTGAGCAGAGAATGACGTCACACTTCCTCTCTGTGTGTTGTAATCTGAGCTTCTCTGTGGTTTCCCTGCCGGCCACCAACATTTTTAGATGTTGATATTTGGTTGAATTTAGGTTGGGACGTGAGGTAACCAAAATTCAATGTCAGGACGTCACATGCCATCGTCAGGTTAACATAAAATGCAGCGTCAGATGACAATGATATTTTCTTGGTTTTAAAGCAGCTGTGCGGAACTTTACGTTTTCGTTGATTATAGTGCCCCCTTTGGTCAAAGCGGTATGACACCCACAGCCTGGTGTCGTAAAATTCCAACTGCAGCCAGCATTCGGCTTCATTCGTAAAATCTCGACTGCAACCGGCAATTACCGCATGCATTTGTTTTGGAGAGCGAGAGGAAAATCATAAATGTTCTGGTGTTGCTCTGAATTTCTTATAAACTGAGGACAACTGCCTGCTGTATATTTGTGTTCATGGTCACAGTCACAGATAATTTTGTGGTGTTTGTTGTAACGTTAAAAGCGGTTCACATCAGCTAACGTTACATTTAGCTTGCTTATAACTTCCATGTCGTCATTTATTGAAGTGAAACAACATCTAACAAGTTGCGGTATATTCTCTAAATAAAAACAAAAATGACATACCTGTCGATTAGGAAAAGGGCCAACTCGGGATCAGTTTTAAAACCTTTCAAATCTCTCAGCTCTCTCCACTTGGTGAATGCCCGACCGAGGTTTACACGTGTTTGGGCTTGAGCCCTATCACTGTCCCGTTTAGCCTTCTTCTGTTCTTCTGCTCTTTTTCTTTTAGATGGTGCTCCTTCTTTATCCGCCATGACATCGAAAGTACAACCAAGTCCTTATAGAAACATCTGGTAAAACTGTTATGTGTTCAGCAATGCCTGTTGCGTACCGCTTCCTCGAAGAACACTCTCTGTAAACACAGCTCTTTTTCTTCTCTCAATTTATTGGCAGATCGTAAACAACTTCCAGGTGCATACCACCACCTACTGTACAAGAGTGTGCAATGTGTCTGAAATCATTCACTACTCCCTACTACATGTCATTTAGCCTTTTTCTTAAATCCTACTCGTAAACACGGCTCCTTCTTCTTCTGTGGTTTAATGGCTGCGGGCGTGCAGACTTATTTCCGTCTCCGGGTGCCGTATTCTGGTTTGCTGACTTCCGCTGTGTCCGACCCGACAGAGGCTACGCTAAATAGCCATATAGAGAAAGGCTTTTTTGTCGCTGTTGGGTTCAAATAAATATGCGGATCTTCAAGGAGGGGTGATACGAACTAGGGACAGTTTTATAAATGGTAAAAAGTTCCGCACAGCTGCTTTAAGTTGTGTCCAACATCTTCCAAAGGTCTCATGCTAACACCATCATAATGTAGATTAAAGAGATTTAGTCAAGAGGTGTGGACAAAAAAACATATTTTTATTTGAACCAAAATTTTAAGTCTGTCCGACGTCTTTCTGACATCATATTGACTTCTGGTGCCAGCTGGGTTGTTGTGGCAGACAGTACGGCCACATTCTCATGTTAGTGCCAGTGTGTATCTCACTGGCTAGCTCATTGCTGCCACTCTGCACGGCACTTATACTGCAATTACCACTGGCATGAGGATGGCATCGTTATGGAAGCATAGCCCCACCCACTTAACTCTGTCAGCACTGTTGCCGTTGCGTATGCTCGAGCCACACTGTCAGGATGATGATGCATGACAGCTACCTTGCTGAACTGTGAGGAAAAAATAGGCAAGACTCCAGTTCTATAGATGCTCTGCAGCAGAGAAGCAGCCGAGATGCGCCTGAGCAGTGCTGTTTACGCGGGCAGTGTGGCCCATGTGTTAGTGCTGTGTATGGAGCCCCATTAGTTGCTAGCCACCAGCTCAGCCAACTCCATGTTGGGAACCATGTGCAAAGAACTCATATGCTTGGCATAGAGCCCCTCTAAAACAGATTCAGACTTTGGTCCCTGTGGTTGAAAGTTAAGTTGCTAAAACATTTCCTGGCTTTCTGGTCACTGCAGCAGAAGCAGGCTAGTAGCATTTCTCCAGAGAACTTGGGCCTTTGTGTATAAACTAACTCAGTCCAATCACATCAGCCTCTAGTGGCCATTAGTGGTTCTGCACCTTTATGTGGGTGTGCTTTTATTTTTCAGCTATGGCTGTGGACAGTTAAGAGTTTGTTTAATGATCCATAACTCAGAGGTAATGGATCATCAGTGGGTGAAAATCTCCACCCAGCCTCCCTCTGCTGTCAGGCTGCTCTCCTGGCTTCTGACTACAGGAAATTAAATCACTCCCAGCCATTACAGATGGGTCTATTTGTGCCCCTCAGGCCGCCAGGGCTGCTGTGTAAACTGACTCTAGGGAAAGAAACTAAGTAAACATTGATAATAAATGGACGCCTGCAGCCACATCATCCCATCCTTCCTTCAGTTCAGCTTCCAGAGCGACTCTGGAGGAATCGCACAACTCCAGCTCTGGTATTTGACCCAGATAAGTTTGCTGTGATGGAGAAAAACTGGATCCAGCAGGCAGTGAACAGAGTGCCAGCTTCTGTCTCTGCTTCCACAAATACTTCATCTTGTGTTCTGCTGCTTGCTCTGTCAGAGCCGACACCTCCTGCACTCTGATGCTTCACACCTTTGTGATGTCGACTCCTGCTTCTTCTTTGTTCTTTTTAACTCACGGTATGAAAAGCTGCTACTCTCTGCCGTTTGTTGGGCAAGACAGACTCTGGTGTGAATGTCAGAGCTAATGGAGAGCGTAGGAATTCATTTAGAAAGCTTCCTAAACCCATTTCATGCAGCTGTCCAAATTTAATTAGGTTTCATATCAGGTCCTGTGGAATGTGTGTTTGTAAAGTGGCGATGCACTAATCCGCCTTAATCTGCTCCTCTCTGATGGAAAGGTTGGTTCCTCCCCGGAGGCTCGGCATTTCCTCTCTGCAGCACCCTCCCAGGACCAACTAGTCTTTTGGCTTAATTTAATTTGGCGTTCCTTCTCCTTCTTCTTCTCCTCCTCTTCCTCCTCCTCCTCCTCCTCTGCTCATTGTCTTTTTTTGTGAAGGGGATGAATGTCTGGAAGCGAGAGGAAACATTTCTGTGTGGGTTTCTTAATGTCAGAGTATTACTGCAGCTTTTGGAAGTTTCTCTCCTGGCAAACAAGAAAACTTTGACTCGCTGACAGACTAAAAAAAGAATCAACATTAACATTTTGGAGCAGATTTCTTCCTTCAGGCGCTCATGGAGACCTGCTTTTTATAAGGTTTCAATTACTTTGTGGAGCATTGTTTTTATTTACAAGCTGTTGGTACCCAGACGCATATTATCCACGGAGCACATGTATTAACACATAAAATTCACAATTCTCAAATGAGAAAAAAAGGAAAATGTAAAAGCAAAGACGAGAGACAGGATTTAGGAAGTTTAAAAATGAACCGAGCACACAGGT